GCCGTCGTTGGAGTACACGTTGGCCGGCGCCCCCAGGGCTTGGAACACCTTCTTCATGCCCGCCGCGGTGGTGCTCGCAAGACGGTCCTTCAGCGGCTCCGGGCCACTTTCTTGGTCAGCGCATCGATTCACCTCCTCTCTGGAAATGCTGGGGTCGCGCACCTGGGCCTGCTGCAGCGTCTGCGCAATGCTGCCGAAACCGGTCCGGGAATCCTCGTAGACGGCCTTGATGGTTCGCCTGCGGGCGTCAGCCATGTTTCTTATGGGTTCTTCGGCCCCCGCTGGGCCTCCCAGGCTTCCACCTTGTCCAGCCGGGCCTGGAAGCCCTTGCACACCCCCCAGAGCACGCTGGTGAGGTGAGAGTAGTCGAGGGTGACCATCTCCGTGCCGTCGCTCCACCTCACGGTGCCCGTCAAGTTCTTCCACTTCGTTCCGCGAAGTCGTTTGAGGCGAAGCCCAGCCTCAGGTTCTCGTTCATGTCCGGGCGCTTGTACTGCTTGGCCTCCACGGAGTCGAACAGCTGCTGGAGCTCTGCCACGTCGGCCTCGGCCATCTCCGTCTTCACCCTGCTGTCCGACAAATTTGTGAAGCTCGTGTTGCAGACCACGTTGCCCGTGTTGCCCGCGATCACGAGGCAGCCTGGGTTCCTCTGGTTCGTGGTCAAGGACAGCTGCGTCGAGAGGCTCTTCGTCTGCACCAGCGCCTCGTCGTTGATCATGATGAGCTCGCACTGGTGCGTCCCGCCGTCCCGCTCCAGGAAGACCCTGGCGCTCTGGTTGCCCAGCAGCCGCAGCTCCGGGCCGCTGTCGGAGGCCGCGCTGTTGTTGGAGATCTGCAGCTTGCTCCAGCCCGCCCAGTTCTTCGTCAGGAAGAGATCGTCCGAGAAGTCGGAGGTGTTGGTCACGATGAGCGTGTTGGAGGCGAAGAGCTGCGGCGCGGAGACCGTGCCCGAGCTCGTCACGTCGCCGCAGACCACGCTGCCCGTCGACACTCCGCCGCTCGTGGCCGTGAAGGTGCAGTCCAGGCTCTCGCAGTCCAGCGGGCCCGCGGAGGCCGCCCCGTGATGGTCAGCGTGGCGCCCGTGAGCGCACCAGTGGCTGCGAAGCTCGCCGCGGTTGCTGCGCCTGATGCCGTCAGCGTGCCCGTGGACACGTCGCCCACCGTGGTGAAGTTCCCTGCGTTGGCCGTGTTGTTGATGGTCAACGTGCTGCCCGTGATTCCGGTGGCTGAGCTCAGCAGGCCCACGCTGGCCGCCCCCGTGATGCTCAGCGAGCTACCTGACACGGCCCCTGTGGACGACAGCGTGGCTCCGGCGACGGCGCCTGTGGCCGTGAGCGCTGCGCAGGAAACGGCGCCCGAGGCGTCCACGCCCGTCGTGAACACGTCCGTGCAGTTCACGTCGTTGCACAGCAGTGCTAACTTGCACAGTGACCGCGCCCCGCTGCGCCCATTTTGTCAACCACTCATGGGGCAGGTTTTTCAAGTCACAAAGGTGTCACCAGGTATAGCGGAGCTTGACGCATGATTTCCTATGTGTTGGCTCTATGGTTAAGCCCACTGCGCGTGACGGTGCGTGAGAAGGCTGAGAATCGGGCTGAGAAGGGCGGGTGGTCCGTGGTCCTGAGCTTGCACGCCCTTGCCGTGCCTCAGTGCCTTTCCTGACAAATGTTATGCTGCAGTTGCGTGCTGGCCCCCATGCTGGCTGCTGGCTGTGTCTGAGAGTGTCAGTCACTGCGCGGGCCGCCGGCCCGGCGCGGGCTCAGTGGTTTGTTGGGCCGCCGGGGGCCGCCGTTGCGCACGCTGCACAGAAAACAAGCAGACACGCAGAAGACAAGCAGACTGACTCAGACTGACTGCAGCAGACTTGCCGACGCGCCCACAGTACTCAGTACTCAAGTACTCACAGACGACTCACAGATTCAGACTCCAGACTTTAGACTCACTGAGTCTGCTCCAAATGTGGCCCGCTTGGATGTTTGGGTTTCTTGATTCCTGTTCCTGACACTTGCCCAGATGTTTGGTATCTATTGATTATTTTTTTCACTTGCCGCGATTGTTTATTTGAGGGGTTTTGTGACACTTTCTGACAACCGTGTCCGTTATCAAGTTGAACATTTCGGAGAGAGGGGCGGGCCCCGGGTGTACAATGACTTTGATTTATATAAAGATTTACCCGTTGGAAACTAAGCCAACAGTGAAGGAGTGAGCGGGTGTCGAGTAGAAAAGCTCAAAAGTTGATTTCGTGAAACCCAAAAGGAGCCAACATCTTCATGACTTGATTCGTGCTTGGTTTTGGGGTTTGCCTTGTGGTCCGTGAAGATGACATGAACCATGAAGGACCAAAACGCAAGTCAAGCAATTTGCTCTCTGCATGCTTGTTTGTTTTCATGTCTTCGGCAAACTCGGCTTCTTCGCTGCTCTGTGCGAAACAATGCGTCGCTCTTTTGGGCAATCTGAGCCGGCCGAAGACGATGTGTACGCATTTGCTCATGCTGGAAGGCGGCTCATGATGACGGCCCCTGGTTGTTTAGGGGCTTCAACTTCAACCTGAGAGCTTGCTCGGGCAGGCTTGGTGCGAGAGGCTACCGGCTACACATGATAGCAACCAGAGCAAAAATACCAACGCCGCTGTGAAATAAAAACCATCAAAACAACGCCACATCACGCCAGGGAACTCAAGGCAACAGGCCTAGCAATCACCTTCAGAAGCTGCCGCAGCGGACAAAGCGATGGCTTGGGCTTCAGAGCCACTGCCACTCACGTGCGGCTCCTTGATTGAGGGTTGTGCGACTGCATGCCATTCTTCATTCGTTTCGCTTTCAACATGACTACTTGCTGAGGGCTTCATGGAGCACACGCTGCACGGCGACGGCGTGACGGGGCGGGCCAGTATTTGGACCCAGGCCAATGCTCTTTTTTGCGCGTCTCATGAGTGTGCTTTGGCAGGTCTTGCTGAAGGTCGTGCTTGACACAGGCCCAGGCCCAAGCTTTTGAGCTGATTGTTTGAAGTGCTTCATCTCACTGCAGACTACTTGGATCCAGGCCATTTTTCTTTCATCGTGGAGCGAGGTTTTCGCACGCTTGCTGTGGCAGGCTTGGCACTCTGCTTGCACTTTGCCCCGGTTTCTGCAGTGTTTTGAGGCGCTCGAATTCTCGACGCAGACTTCTTGGATCCAGGCCAATATTCCTTCATCGTGGAGCTAGGTTTTCGTATGCTTGCTTTGACTCTGCTTGCACTTTCCTCGGATGTCTTGCAGATTTTTGAGGCGCCTGCATTCTTGATGCAGACTACTTGGATCCAGGCCATGGTTCTTTCATCGTGGAGATAGGCTTTCGCGCTTGCTTTGGCAGGCTTGGCGCTCTACGTGTTTGCCCCGATTTCTTGCAGTTTGAAGAGCGTGTGCATTCTAACCAGACTTCTTGGACCCAGGCCATTGTTCTTTCATCGCGGAGCTAGGTTTTTGCACGCTTGCTTTGGCAGGCTTGGCACTTTGCTTGCCCCAATTTCTTGTAGTTTTTTGTGGCGCTTGCTTTCTCAATGCAGACTTCTCCGGATCCAGGCCATAGCTCTTTCATCGTGGAGCTGGAGCTCGGTTTTAGTACGCTTTGGCAGGCTTGGCAGTTTGCTTGCACTTTGCTCAATTTCTGTTTTTTGTGGCGCTCACATTCTCAATGCAGATTTCTTGGATCCAGGCCATTGCGCTTTCATCGTGGAGCTGGAGCTCGGTTTTCGTACGCTTTGGCAGGCTTGGCACTTTGCTTGCACTTTGCTAAATTTCTTGCAGTTTTTTTGGTGGCGCTTACATTCTCAATGCAGACTTCTTGGATCCAGGCAATTGCTCTTTCATCGTGGAACTAGGTTTTCGCAGGCTTTGGCAGGCTTGGCACTTTGCTTGCATTCTGCCCCGATTTCTTGCAGTTTTTGAGGCGCCTACATTCTCAACGCCGACTTCTTGGATCCAGGCCATTGTTCTTTCGTCGCGGAGCTAGGTTTTCGTATGCTTGCTTTGGCAGGCTTGGCACTTTGCTTGCGCTTTACTTGGATCCAGGCCATTATTCTTTCACCGTGGAGCTAGGCTTTCCTACGCTTGCTTTGGCAGGCTTCGGCTTCAGCTTTCAATGTGGACTTGGGGCCGGTATTTGGAACCAGGCCATTGTTCTTTCCTCGTGGAGCTTTCGTACGCTTGCTCTGACAGGCTTCAGCTTTCAATGTGGACTTGAGGCCACTGTTCTTTCACGGTGTTCTTTGTTTCGTGCATTCTGTGGCAGGCTTCAGCTTTCAATGTGGGCTTGGAGCCGGTATTTGGAACCAGGCCATTGTTCTTTCCTCGTGGAGCTAGGTTTTCGTACGCTTGCTCTGGCAGGCTTCAGCTTTCAATGTGGGCTTGGGGCCGGCTTTGGAACCAGGCCATTGTTCTTTCACCGTGTTCTTTGTTTCGTGCATTCTGTGGCAGGCTTCAGCTTTCAATGTGGACTTGGGCCGGTATTTGGAACCAGGCCATTGTTCTTTCATGTTGAAATTTGTTTCGTGCATTGGCATTTTCAGGTCTGGCAGCTTCTGGCGACTTGCTGGAGCTTGCGCCCGACAGAGGCCTAAGCCTTTTATTGACTCAATGGGTTTGGGCCTGACACGTATTTTGTCATGTGTATGCCTGGGCAAGTCTGCCACGGTCGCAGTCAGGTTGCGCGCTTTGCTTGCGATTTTTTGTTGCTTGGAACCTTAACCTGGGTTTGGGGTTGATGCAGAATCTTGGAAACAAGGGCATTGTTCTAGTTGCTTCAGGGCGACCCAGTGGGTGGACTTGGCCATCGCTCCTGGCAGGAGCTTGAGAATTGAAAGTTGTTAAGCACGTGCAGCCTGCGCCAAGGCTTGGGCTTTTGGGATGATCTGCCTGAGCCGAAGCGCTTCCGCCTTGTTTTGCATTGCCGCGTGTGATTTGGATTTGGTTTGCTTGCCTTCGCAGGCTTTGCAGCGTGTTTTTGACTGTGGTTGCGGCCGCAAGGTGGCTCGTGCAGCGTGTGTGGTGAGTGTGCAGTCGAGCGATGGATCCGATGGACACTGCTATCTTCAGGATGGCCTTGGAGGTGGCAAAGGAGAACAGGACGCAGATGCACCCGACCGAATGGGCGGTGTGGCAGTATCACTTGGACAACTGTCCGGAGATCCAGGATGAGTAGCTTGGCCACGAAAGGAGATCTCCTTGAGATTGAGATTGATTTGCAGCAAGCTTGAGATTGAGGCACATGCCGCGGCACTTCGAGGTGAATGAGGATGACCCAGCAGCTCGCGATTTTTTTGTGGCTTTGAACCATGTAGTCTTCAGCAAGGTGCTTGCGCAGCCTGGCTTGATTCAGTTGTGCAGCCTCTCGTGTTTGTTTTTTACTTGACGCTTTGTGCCTGCGGCTCTGAGGGATGCCTGCGACTGCTTGCTGCTGGAGATTCAGAAATGGGTCGGAGAGTTGGAAGCGGAGAAGAAGGATGTGGAGGCAGTTCTTCGGACTGTGAACAGTGAGTATTTCCGCGCTGAAGGACGATTCTACAGGTGCCGTTTGAAGTTCAGGCAGAAGGATTACTATTGTCAGCTGAGCGGTCCAGCAGAGAACCTGTTTGTTTCCACGAACGGCAAGGTCGCCATCATGGCTTCGGGGATTTTCCTTCGAGATGCTGATGCGGAGGACGCCGCAAGGCCGCGAGTCGCGAGTGCGAGGGCTGCAAGGGGTTCCTGAGCCTGATGAAGAGGTGCCCACACGCTGTGTGAAAATGGCCTTGCCTTGCCTGCTCAATTGAATCAATTGTGGAGCTTGAAGTTGCAGGTTACAGGTTGAAATTTGCTTGAAGCGCTTGCCAGGGGCCCGGCCACCTGGTCACCTGGCGCTCTCCAGAGATGCGCAGTGCCACTAGCTCAGATGCTTCGCCGCGTGAGTCTTGCTTGCTCAAAAGTGAAGCTGCGCTTCAAGTTGAAACTTGCTCCGAGCGCATGCTACAGTTGGCAAAGTTGAGCATGGAATGGATTTCTTTTTTAAACAAAAGTACTACGCCAAGTGCGCTCCCATGAGCTGGCAAAGTTGAGCGTGGGCGTGGATTTGTTTTTTAAACAAAAGTGCTACGCAAAGTGCGCTCCCATGAGCTGGCAAAGTTGAGCGTGGGCGTGGAATGGACTTGGTTTTTAAACAAAAGTACTACGCAACGTGCACTCCCATGAGCTGGCAAAGTTGAGCGTGGAATGGATTTGTTTTTTAGACAAAAGTACTACGCAAAGTGCGCTCCCATGAGCTGGCAAAGTTGAGCGTGGAATGGTTTTGTTTTTTTTAGACAAAGGTACTACGCAAAGTGCACTCCCATGAGCTGGCAAAGTTGAGCGTGGAATGGATTTGCTTTTTTAGACAAAGGTACTAGCCTTTGAGTCTTCGCACACTACGCTTGCGCGCATAATCATAAGTTAAGATTTTCAAGTTGGAGATGCGGAAGCGCGATCAGTTGCAATTTGCAATCTGGAGATGATGGAGCACACTCTCTCGAATATTACTACTGCGCGTAAAATCGGTGATTTTCAAGCAGGGGCTGCGAGAGCGCGCGTCGCGTGCGACCTTTGCGTGTAGAAACTTAAGGATGTTTCAGCCGGAGCCTTCTTGCGCAGCCAAACTGCGCACTAATTTGGACAAGTCATGCGCATCACCCACGGCCCACGGCGCCAAGCGCAGTAGCATCAATGCACAACATCGCACGCGACAGAAACTGACACGAGAAATTGCGAAGCATGATGCTAAGCTTGCTGCTCACCAGAACTTGCAGAAGCTAGGCTAGGCTTGAGCAGGGACATGGACGTGTTTACGCTTTGTTTCTCATAAGGTGGGACGTGTTTGTTCTTTGCTTATCTAGTTTCCGAATGCGCTTTGCGGGGCTGGCTGGCTTCCTGGTGTTCAGGGCCTTGGGCTTAGACCTTGGTTTCAGACGGAAAACGAAAGCGAATGTTACTGCTAAATCAGGGATTTTTGAGGAGGGCATTTTTTCAGTTTCAACAAATCACTTTTCAAAAAACACGCCTTGCTCTGCAATCTTTACTTTTAGTTTTGCCAGCTCTTTAGCACCAAGCCTCGTGGGACGTGTTGCGCGCCAGGAACCCAGAGCTCAGTGAGCTCAGAGCCGGGATGATGCCAGGGAGCCAAGCTGTGTCGTTGCAGCGTGTGATCTATTGTGCTTGGGTTCAAGCTTCGAGTGTCTCAGCCTTTCGGATGTCAAGCGCTAGCCTCTCATTTGTCAAACCGTCAAACCAGTTGTCAAGCATCTAGCCTCTCAAATGTTTGAGCCCATCATTTAATGTTGCAATAACCGCGCCAAAAACGAGGCAATGGAGTATGGGTCCGGTCCGCTTGCAAGCTCCACAAGCGTTTGCAGCGCTCGTGTGCTCTCGTCCTTTGCAGTCCCGGCGGCGAGCACGCAGGCAGAACCAAGCGTGGCTGGCCAAGGTTGCTGAAAGATTGCAAACCGACTTTCGTGATGTGTGCATGGACGGGAGGTGCGTTGTGTACAGCCTTGCAGTGCTTCGACTTTGTCCATCTGGAACCTGTCAGTGTCACCATCTAGTGGAAGATGATTTTTTGTGGCAACAAGTGGAGGGCAACTCTTGGCAGAGAGCTCAGTTTGATATTCTTGCAATGTTGCCACTGCAGCAGCACGACATGGTGTGCTTGTCGCATAGCGCCCAACCAACACCACGGCTGGCGTTTTTTCCATTGGCTGAGAGAACGAGCGCCTGGGCGCAAGCTGTTGGAGCTGATTTTTTGCAGGGCTGCCTTGACTCCGGCCTCCTTCCTCAGAAGCATGGCCTGTTCGTGCGCTTCGCTTGCAGCCTTGAACGGGCCCTCGCAATGCTAGTGTCTGCCAAGAAGGTGCAGTTTGTTGGAATATGCCTGAAGAGGCGATATCCACGTCGGTTTCCGCAAGCTGAGTGGATCAAGGTGCTGAAGAAGCGCAGCCAGAGCTTGCAGGACGCTGTTAACAAACAAGGCAGCAAGGCAAATGTCGCGGAGCACACAGCCATGCTGAACTCTCAGGCCTTCAGCTCTGTTGCCGAGGTGCTTACCAAATGTGAAAATGGGCAGCGCCCAGCCGATCAAGTTGATGAGGTCTGCAACGAAGACGAAGACTTTGAGCATGAGTTGGCCATGTGCAGAGCTTGGGCGAGCCAGATGGCGAGTCTTTTTCATCCCTGGCAGATGGAAGCAGCGCGGGTGGAGCGAAGCAAGGTCAACAAGACTTTGCTTGGCGCAGGTGAACAATCTTCTCACCTTTGTTGGCACGGCCCCAACGCGCGATTCACAAGCTGGTTTGTTCTTCAATGCGTTTTGCTTAGCTTAGAGTTGAAGAACGCCGACCATCTGCAGGCAGTGCTGAAGCGGTCTATCATGGTGGCTTTTCCCAGTCAAGTGGCGTATGCGCTTGTGCGCGCAATCGAGGACATGCCAATGCCGCACGCGTCTTCTGTGTCTCGATGGAGGTTGCAGGTCGATAGTGCCTTTTTCCTGCTGCAGAGAGCCATGTTTTGTCTCAAGCTTGGCCTTGCAGTCCCGTCAGTGTGCAAATCTTGCTTCGACCCCGACCAAACAGCACTGCGTGATTTCCACTTGTATTTGGTCACTGACAGCTCTCCTCAAGGTGGGAGAGATTGGCTGATAACAGAGGTACACATTGTTGGAGCCAACGACTTGGCCCCTGATTGCGCGTTGCAGCTTTTTTTGGAACAGTTTGAGGCGCGACGGCTTCGTGAGACATCCACTGACGTCAATGCTGAAGCTAGAATGTTGGAGACGTTGCAAAGCATTCAGGATAAGCTGCGGACAGGGTTTGATGTTCAGTTGGCAGCGCCTGCAGGCCTTGGCTTCCAGCGCACCAACACGCACCACAAGTTTCAAGCCTTGGCCCACCAGATGTTCCTTTTGGCTGGCGATGCAACGCCCGCCTTTGCAGAGCGGGTCTTTTCTGTTACCACTGACTTTGGAACTGAAAGCGGCCTGAGCAGGCAGCGTGCCCCACTATTTGCAGTGTTGCCTTATGCTGCGCTTGACGGCGAGCTTGCGGAGCACGGGGATGCACGATGCTTTACTTTGCAAAAATCATGGCAGGTCCCTGGAGTTTTGCACATATGCCACAATGTTTGCCATGATGTTACAGATTCTATGGAGCACTTTGAGGAGTTCAAGGCTCACATGTGCGCGCTGGCAGCTGTACTCTCAGACAAGATCCTCAGGCAGGGGATGCAGGCGCTTCTGTTCAGTAGCGGCCCAGCAAGCGTTCATTACGCCAAGTTTGCTGCTTTTGGTGAACGCATTCTGGATCACAGATGGCAGTCTGTTTCCATATTCCTTCGAGAGTTTGAGCCGCTGGAGCAACCTCTCCGTGAATATTGGAATCTTGAGGCTATGAACAGACGGGGCCGTGGGAGTGATGGTCAGTCTGCAAAACGTCTTCACGCGTTTGACGCTGCTATGACATGCCAAGAGCTGTGGCCGTACTTGCAGATGCTGAGGGCCTTGTTCCAGGTTGTGGACGCAATCTCAGAGTGGGCGCAGGCTTGTGCCTGCCATTGGCAAAGGCGCGTCGAGAGGGTGTTGTCCCAGGCTTGCCCCCTTCGAGGCCGCCGGGCCCCAGAGCTCGCCTGTGGCGAGATCAGCAGTTTTCTGGACGAGTTGAAGAACGAGTTCAGTGGCGCTTGGCTCGCTTCACCTCAGTGCACTGCCGATTGGTCCCAAGGGCTTCAGAGAATGCAGTTTCTACTTGAGTTGAAGTTTGGGTTCTGGACGACGCTCCCTCACGCGCTGGCTGGGTTGTGCCACCCCTGCGATGACAAGGCGCGCCTCTGTGCCCGCAATGTCCTCGCTCAGTGGCAGTGTTTGAAGGAAAGCGGCAGTGAGTGTTTGCACGCATCTCGGTTTTCACTTTGCAGGAAGCTCCTTGATGCAGGAGAGTTGCGGGAGCTTACGCTGCGCTTCATGCGTGGTGAATTGAGTCGCACTGATGCAGACATGGCAGAGTGGCGCAAGGCCCTGGCTCCAGTCTCCTTTATTCCAATTGTGGAAAGAAGCGTCGAAGGCAGGCACGCTCAGATACACCGAATTGTAGCTCGAGCTCCAAACCACTCTGGAGCCTTGCTATCTTTGTCTCTGCGGACGCCTCTATTGCTAAATCCTTTGCAGTGTGACAGCAGTCGGCTTGGCGCTGATGCTGGTGTACTATCCAAAGTGGCTACGATTTTGGCGCAGTGCAGAGACGCAAAATGGCTTTTGAAGCATTTGGGCTTGCTGGGCCACCCTGCAGTTGGTGAGGCAAAGAAGGCCACCTTTCCCGTGGCAGACAAAATTGTGTACAGGTGTGACCGCCAAACCCAGTTTCGGAACTTTGAAGACATGTTTTCCTTGACCAGCTTCAGCAAAAAGAAGCCTCAGCTGGCGCTTGCAGATGCGGACCACATTACGCAGCACTTCGCCTTGGAGCACTGGAGGCAAACCGGATCCAGCGCAACTGCGCTCTACTATGCAGCCCTTGTGCCTCTCGCAGACACCGATGCCCGCTATGACAGTGACAGTGATTTGTTCAGGCTCATGCAAGATGTTTTGGCTGCGCCATCTTTGAGCACGAGCCCTTCGCTGGCTTTGGCGGTGGACGATGCTGGATTCCAGTTCCAGATCACTGAAGATGAGACTGCCGGTTTGACCAGGTCAGGAGCTGCGCAGGTGGCCATAGTCCCCGAAGATGGCTTGTCTAGGTGCACACTCTTCAGAGTGAACCACTGGTATCCTTCGCGAATGAAACAAGTTCAAGGCAACTTCCAGGCTTCGCTTTGCGCGAAGGATGTGGCGGTGAGTTTGTACGCAATAGCGGAGCTGGATTCAGACACTCAGGTGCTTCGCACAACTGGGGTGCCAGAAGGTTGCAGGGCTGAGCTGAGCAGCAGTTTTGGTTCGCTTGTTTTCTTTGTTAGTTTGTTGTGCCGTTTGTTCGCCCACAAATTTCAGATTCGGCTTTGTTAGGCAAGTCCGGGACTGCAGCCACGGCTGTGGCATTGGTGAATGAAGCTTTATTTCGGGACAAGGTGTTTGTGTTCGCCACTGACCCGGAGCCCACCTTTGCGCTGCGAGGAAATTGGCCAGCAAAGTGGTCCGAGGCAGTTTCCAGGCTGTTTGCAGCAAAAGCTTTGCCGGACTCGAAAGAAGCCCACAAAGTTCAAGGCAGCGTGTCTGGCCAAGCAGAAAGGCTGATACTGGCAGAGATGGAAAGGGAAGGGCTTGCAAAGGAAGATTTTGCAGAAGAGACAGCTGCCACCAGCAGCAACTGGCGCCTAACTCCCAAGGCTGTGGAGCAATCTCAGCAGTTGTTCACGCTCCGAAGTCCATGCTCTGTTTTGGCCCACAGGAATTTGCCAGAGAAGCTTGAGTGGACCCGCTTCGAAATTGCCCAGCACTTGAAGAGCAAGGGATGGGCGTCCGTGAGCATTCGGAAGATTCCACCAAGGTTGAGGTCAGATTTGTCTTTGCATGTGGAGGATGTGGGCGAGGGCCATATCCTTTCAGAGTTTGGGCCTCCTCACAAAATGTGGGTGTACAAGGCTGGCGTACCAAGTCACGCTTATTTGTCAGCCATGCTGGCTGTTGAGCTGAGGCGTGATATGCTATTGGCGTGCGGAATCCAGGCCCTGCCGCACACGCAAACTGAACAGTTTTTCAAAATTTTTGCAGAGGCAGCGTGGGAGAAGAGACCGCTGGACGATTTCTTGCGCATGCAGGACGACCAGCAGCCAGCAAGGCCAGCGAATGCCAACGTTTTGCCCGACCCGGAAGCTTGTTCTGATGCTGATGGCAACTCCGAAAACTTGGACCCAGAGATTGCAGAGTTTGAGAACTCGTTGGAAGCAGAGTTGGAAAAGTTGTTGGCGGAAGAGGAGGCTGAACATCCGGATGCGCCGGCCGCAGAAGCAAGTGCTGATGAGAGGGCAGAGGTTTCAGGTGAAGTCGCAGGTGGCAGCCGTGATGCAAGAGACAGCGCGGGGGAGGATGTGGGCCCTGATACGGCTGCGACAAAGCGCGTGGTCAGAGAAAAAACTCACATGTGGGGGCCATTCCGAATCACCCACAAACTTACGAAGGCTGGGAAGGAAAGCTGGCAGGCCATTTGCTTGGCGCACAGAGACGAGAGCGCGCGCTGCACAAAGAGTTTGTCCTTTGTTGCAGCCACAGAGGAGCTGCCCAATTCATATTAACCAGACAGTTTTTCTGCAAGTGGCTTTGCTTTCTTGTTGGTTTATGTTGTAGGTCACCACCCTTTTTGTTTTTGCTTGAATGCCATCCTCTGAGGATTACTTTGCGCAGAATACATCATTGGTGCAACATGGCAACATCCTACGATTCGAAGAGCGCCCACCAATCTTTCAACGCGTTGGAGAGCACTTTGCCCAGCGAGGAGGCTGTCAACCGCCAGCGGCCTGCAGATGACGAAGTGCCAGAGCCAGCTAGGAAGAGACCTGCAAAGGGGAAACCTTCAAAGGCTGGAGCAAAGGCAAAGGTTGCGCCTGCAGCAAAGGCCTCCTGCTGCTGCGAAAGCAGCAGCAGCAGTAGTAGCAGTGAGAGCAGCAGCAACAGCTGTTCCGAGAGTTCCACAAGCGATTCAGAATGAAGCTGCGCCCGGCCCAGCAAAAAGAGCCAGACCGTTCCATTTCGGTGCTTGATTTACTTCAGATGGGTCATAACCTATGCCTCCATTTTGAAGCATTTTGGAGCGGATGAGTGTTTTTCAGCACGTCAGCCAAGGGCCTTTGCCAGGGGTTCCGGAACCCCCATTTCATGAACTGAGGCAGCTTTCTCCCCCAGATTTCCTGTACTTAGGATTTTTTGGGGGTTCTGGCTCTGCGTTTGGGTTTTCTTTGCGTTCCAGAAACTCAATTTGCGCAAAACCAGTTGGGTGCAAACTTCCCCGGAACCCCCCGGAACTTCCCCCGGAACCCCCCGATTCTCCCCGGAACTTCCCCGGAACTTGTGAAAATCTGTCCTGGAGAAAGTGGTTCCCTTTCTAAAATGCTCTTTGGGCCAAGCTCCCCCCCAGGAGCCAGGAAATCCGGCAGGTTCTGAAACCTGCAGAAACACCTCAAATCCCCCGGAACTACTGGTTTCCCCGGAACTCCCCGGAACTTTTGTCCGCAAGTGGCAGTCCGCAAGTTGCGCCCTGCCGTTGTGGTCGGTCCTGAGGCATCCGCACCCTTTGCGGCAGAGACAAGGCCGCGGTGGCAGTTTCCCAGCCAGAGTCCAGAGCTCCCCGGAATTGGCCCGGAATTGTCAGGCCAGAGCTTCTGGCTCCAGCCGGAAGATCCAAGGCCTTCGAAGTTGGTTGAGTGTGCTTGTGCTTCTGCAGTTTGCTGTGCCAGGCAACCGGCCAGCCACAAGCGCCTTCTGGAGCCAAGGTTTGGCCCTCAGGTCTGTTCCATGTCCGCACCAAACTTGCCTGTCAAAGAGGTGATGATTTCTTGCAAGAGCTTTGGCCTTGGCCTTTGGTTGCAAAGCTTGGCTCGAGGCATTTCTGGAAGCTGCAAAATATTCTGTTGGCGATGGTGGCCATGTGCTTTCAGTGGATCCTGGCAGGCTCCTATTTTCCGGAAGAGGTGTTCGTGGCAGCGGCTTGCGTTGCTTTGGCTGTTGGTTTGGGAAGCTGTGCAAGCTTGTGGACTTGCAGCAGACGCGTGCCAGGGCAGCCTCAGCAAGCTCGTCGTTCTCTGTGGCAGCCTGAAAGTCCTGAGACTGATGGCCAATGCCTGCAGTGTTTGTGCGCTGAACAGCGCGTGCGAGAGTTGGAGAAGGAGATCAAGGAGTTGCGTGCTCGGCGCAAAACCAGTGCTTTTCCGGAAAGCAATGCGAGCCACAGCAGCTTGCCCCAGGAGGTGTTTGTGGCAGCCCAGCAAAGCAGAGGGCCGCGTCATGTCTTTCATGTAGGCTGCCATCACCTGAGACGAGCCGATGTTGATTTCAAGCGCTTTGTGCCTTGCAAGGAGTGCGTTCGAAACTCAATTTAATTCAGACGAGCCACTCGGCCACTCTTAGGGTTTGGGGACTGGGGATGCGCTGTTGTAAAAAAGTTCGGTTGGCAAGCTTGAGTCCGTTTGCGATTGATTGAGATCTGCACGTGCAGACTTGGCTTCTTTTGTCCTGTGTGCGGAGGTAGAGTGAGAGTGCCTGGTGGCTTCTGCGGGAGGCTCGCTGTCGATTGCTTGGTGTGTTTGATTGACTTTGTCAGCAGATGTGATTGCATTGCACCACATGTCACATGGCTGACATGGCTCATTTAGCGTGATTCCCCATGGCAGATTGCGGCGAAGAGTTTGAGTTGGATTTGGAAGAAGCACCAGCGGTGCCGAAGGCAAAAGCTGGTGGAAAGAGGAAGGCGAAAGCCGGTGCCGGTCCGAAAAGAAGGAGTGCTCCACCTGAGACGCCTGAGAGGCCCTCTGGGAGCGAAGGCGGTGGGGGTCCAAAGGGCTCGGGCCGCAAGGTGTGCCCCATATGCCAGAACCCTTCCCAGCAAGTTCTGGCCAAGCATCCGTGGTGCAAAGAATGCAAGTGTGACATAGAGGGCTTGAAGGCTGACAGCGTCAAGAACGGTTGGAGCGCAAGGTATGAAGAAGTTCGTGCTGCCGGCGGTGAGGTCTTCAGGAAGCTCGTGAGAGACTACCACAACCAATGTCCGAGCGGAGGGCGCGGCAAGGCTCGAGCAAGTTACAAGCTGGCACGGCTTGAGAGCATAGAAGCCTTCAGCAAGAAGCATCAGACCGGCAGCGCAGGCAAGCTTGTGGACTGGTTCGACTTCCAGGCTTACTTCAAGAAGAAGTTGCTCTCAACGGAGGACAGACAAATAAGTAAGTAGGCAGAATGCAACAGTGCTCAGTGCCCAGTGCGTGCTTTGTGTTTTGAATTTTGAATTTTGCGAGCCTGCGAGCAATGAGCAAGGTGTCACGGTGTCAACCGAAAACCCGGGGAACCTCAGTCGCCTCTGGCGCGTTTGCCGTTTGCCAGCAGGAGATAGAGAAACGCTGGGGCGCAGCAGTTGCAGCTGGAGTGGTTGACTACGAAGGAGACAACCCAAGCTACCCTGAACGAGTTCGGTTGAAGACCAAGGACTTCTTCCAGGAGTTCGACGAGGCAGCGGTCACCAACCAATGCCGCAAAGAGGGGGCAGTCTCCAAAGGCGACGCAGCTGTGGCAAACTTGGCAGCCACACTTGAAGCTCCAGAGGAAGCGCTTCAGTTGCCAGTGTCAGTGTCAGCCAAAGCCAAAGCCGCAGCCAAGGATGGCCAGGGTCCTGGCAAAGGAAGTGGTCCGGAGCACAGCGAAGTGGCCGGTGCGAACACTGCGGCGTTTGCAGTGGAGCGGCTCAAAGCGTTCGAACAGTGGGCCCACCAGTTTGAGGTGGTGCTCCTGATGCCGTTTCGCAAGAACTACGACACGTTGAACGCGCAGGCTTGGTCACCAGGTCTGCTGCATGCTCGTCGCTCGTGCTTGAAGTGCTTGAAGTCTGAGTCTGTTTGCGGCATTGTCGGTCTCGACTCTCAAGGCATCGTTCAATCATGCTAAGCGTTGAGGCACGTGCAAGTTTCAGTTGTTTGCATGTTGTCATGGTTGTCAGTTTGGTGTGAAATCTCATTTGTTTTTTTCAGGTGGCAGAGCTGGACACTTCGGAGTCTGAGTTGCTGGAAGAGTACAAGAAATTGGTGAAGGAGCGCTTGGATGTTGCAGGGGCTGCCCTTGTTGAAGCCCCAAGCAAAGTCCAGGAGGCAGTGAAGATTGGCGAGAGCAAGTACAAGGAGCACGATGCCAAGATTGCCAGTTGTGCCGGCCAGCTCAAACTCAAGCCCTGTGCGCAGCCCGATTGTCTCTGCAGCTTTGGCTCACTGGCGCTTCGCATCCTGAGTTTGAAGACCGCAGAGACGCAAGATGACCTGCAGACGATCATCAATGTGATTGCCGGCGGAAGCACTGCGCTGAAGCAATTGAACAGCGCAGTTTCAACTGCCATGCAAGAGGTTTTGAAGGCTGTGAAAGACTGCCGGCAGAGAGAGAAGTTGCGCAAGAAGCAAGAGGACTCGGGCTCAAGTCGAGCGGCTCGAACATGTAGCTTTTTCTGTTTGAATTTGCGTGTGCGGTGTTTTTCCACAGCAGCTTTCCAGGGAAGTGCCTTTTTCAAAAGAACACGCCTAAGTTTTTTTGAGGAGGCATTTTTCAATCATTTTCCAATGAACCACCCCCCCTCGGCCCCTCGCAAATTCTGCAGGAAGCGGACCAGAAACGCCTTGCCAGAGAAGAAACCAAGAAGAAGAAGGAGCAGGAGAACAAAGCGAAAAAGGGCCAGAAGAGACAGCGAAAGAGCAAGGCTGATACCATGCCCAAGCGTCTGGCTGCTTTGGAGGATGACGGCGGCCCGGGTGTCAAGGAAGTTCTCTTGTTCTCTGACCAGGCGAGCTTCCTGAAGAATCGGGACGAGAATGCTGATGAGCTGTGGGCCGCTCCGTGGGTCTTGCATGATGAGGCAAGCCTGAAATCTGCTCTGACTTCTGACGCTGCCGTGCATGGCCGCTTCATGATGTTCAGCTCGCAGTTCGAATCATCTGCCCCAGCACAGAAGCATGGCCGTGCTTTCCTGAAGATCCAGGATGGCACTGGGACACAGGTGGCGCAGATCTTGACAGAGATGCAGGGCGACTCCATGGCGAAGATGTGCAAGGATGGTCAGCAGGCCAGCGAGAGGGTCAGCAGCCTGTGTGCCATGGCCTTGGTGGGAGTTCTTGGCGGGCAGCAGACAGTGAGTGTGGCTGAAACGCCGCGCTTTTTGCTGGTGCTGGAGGGCGGCCTGGATATGCTGATCATGCCGCTGCAGACCTACTTGAGTGTGTGCTCCAATCTTGGTCCAGCCACTGACTGGACTGCTTGGTTGAACGGCGCCTACCTTCTGGAACATCTCACAGAGTGTTTTGAGACACAGTCCATGAGACGGATTGTGCTGACCGAGTATGACTTGCTGTATGTGCCGCCCATGTCAATGGTCTGGGAGGTTGGTCTGGAAAGCAAGAGCGTGTTCCTTCGCTCGTGCTGGTGCAGCTGGCGCAACTTGGAAGGTGACGTGGAAACTATGAAGCAAATCCTCGCCATGACCAATTGGGGAGAGTCGGAAAAAGTGCAGCAGCAGATGAAAGAGGTCCTGGACTACATGAACACGCTTGCCGAAGAGGACTAGTGCAAAAGACTTGATGCCACGATTGGCAATTCGGCGATTGGCATTTGGTGGAAAATATGACATCGTGTCAGGCAAGCTGTTCTGTCACGGCACGTGCGCGCTGTCATGCCTGAATGAAGCCTGAATGGGTTGCATCGAGTTTTGCTTCAGGATAAGGATGATGGTCTTCCACGCCCTGGCTTCCTTCAAGGCCATGCGCGAAGGGTGGTCTGCTTTCTTCAAGCTTTGATGAGGAGGGAAGTATGATGTTGGAGTGGTTGGGGGTCCTAACAATGGTCCATAAACGGGGGTTTTTTGGTTGGGCGGGGTCCAGCTCCGGTGTGTGCTGTAGGAGTCTTGCCGTGCCAGATCCTTCGTTCTGATAGATGTGGGGATGTTGCAGGCCCAAAAAGTCTCCCAAAAAATAAGCTCCCTGGAATTGGCGTCAGATAAGCCCTCATTGGCTTTGCAGCTGATGTTGCCTTGCTGGGTTGTGTGTTGCCTTGAGCCTTGTGGCTGAGCTTGGCGAGGCTGGGGATGTTGCGCGGCCTCTGGAGGGCCCAAAATGTCGCAGCAAAAGGCGCGACATTTTTGAACGCATCGGTTGTATGAGTTGACAGCGGCCCGGATGTGAGCTGATGTTATGATGTTAGCTTAGTGTTTAGGTCGCCGTGTAAACGCTTGCGGCCAGGAAGTAGCGGCAAGGGTGATGTTGGAGTTTTCGGTGTGCCAGATCCTTAGTTCCGCCAGATGTGAGTTGATGTTAGCTTAGGGTTTAGGAGGCTGCGTCAGTACACGCTTTCGGCCAGGAAGCAGCGGCGAGGTTGATGTTGGAGTTTCACTATGACTGTGCCAGATCCTTAGTTCTGTCAGCGTCATGTGAGTTGTGATGTCAGCTTAGGGTTTAGGATGCTGGCGACAGTACACACTTCCGGCCAGGTCAGGGGGGCTGTTAAAACCCTCTAGGCCCCGTGCCAAAATTGGGTAGCTGTTCTGAGGTCCTTGTTGGTGTTGCTTCCCAAGTTCCATTGATCGCCATTTGGCTCAAGACACAATTGAGGTTCAAGATCTGATGTGTGACTGCGCACATACGTGACGGGCATTAAGAGCAAAACAACTGCTTGCGCCGCATTTGTCAGGACTACTGGTGTAACTATCATTCCTTCTTCCTTGCAACGTTTACACGGGTTCGGCTATAACGGCATCG